TAGAGCAAGTGGTCTCTGCTCTAGAAGTTGTTTCTCTAGTACAGACAGGGTAGGAGCTGAAGCTTCTGTTGTTGGGGCAAGACCAGTGGGCATTTGCCTTCCAGGAAGGGCTTTAGATCACGGTGTCACAAACAATCAAGAAATCATTTCTGGCTGTGCAAATGTAGCTGCTTACTGTAGCTCCAGTGAAAGGGCATGGGAGGGGAGGGTCTTGCTAATTGTACTGAGCCTGCCTGCATTGCAAGTGTCAGACGATTTGATGGGACTGACATGCAGCTAAATGGGAGAGCAAAAGACACTGCAGTGGACTGTTGGTCCATTAGTTTGCCCGGCATCTTGTTTTACTAAGGAGCCCTCTAATGGTTTCTTGGCAATAATTACTATCTCTTCTTCATGCTATTCAACGTGACAGGCACTTGCTGAAGTCTCAGCTAATATATTTGCACTCTAACCAGCCCCAATGCTGAGTCTCCTTGAGTATGTTTAGCTAAGAAATGAGTGATGACTATGTTTTTTTCCTGGAGAAGATTTCTCTAATGTAGAAGACAATCATTTTATTTTGGATACTAAGCAGGCGTGTGGCGTAACATGAGTGCTTGTGAAAAAAAAAAAGGGATACATTAGCTGTGGTCTGCCTATTGAATGTCTGTGTATTAGAAGCTTGTGATATTGAAATAGGGGAAATATGTTTATGGGCTATTTTACTTATACTGTGATAACTTTAGGCTTGAGCCAGAATCACGGGCAGGGAGCAGTTTATGTAGAAATGAACCTCTAGGCAGCTGTCTTGATGCTGTAGGATTCGGGATTAGACCTTTGTTTCAAGTAACTCACATTTGGGAAGCATTTTTACTTTTCCCTGTCTCTTTTTTAGATGCAAGAGGGTATCTTAAAATGCTTCAGCTCTTTTCATGTCTTTTTATTTGCTTTGTGAAGTCTGGTCAGTTTTGCTGATAGGTGTATTTGCTTTTTAAACGTCACTTGGAATTTCCTGTGGTAAGCACTTGAGGTTTATTGAATGAGCCTGAATTCTTTTGAGATTTTTCTATGATGTCTGTTTGCTAAGGTATAGCATTTAAAAGGAATGAATATCTTGATTATCATTAGTACCATCATTATTTTTTGTTAAAATCTTTGAAGGCCTTAAGGTCATAAAAAGTCCTACACGAGAAAATACAGGAAGAAGAACAAAAACAGGAGTGTGAAGACCTGTGTAGAGAGGATGAGTATGCTTGAAGTTTAAATTTTTTTTCATAAATGTATTTGTGGAGTGATAAAATCCTAAAATCATTTAGGACCTTTTCCCCATCCACTCAAGTCAAAGACCTCTTTTTATAAAAAAAGTCTTCTTTGAGGAGGGATGAGAAAACATTAGCAACAACTCTATTTTGGATAATTATTTTTCTCTTTTGCTTTTAAAACATATTACAGCTGCCCGATAACGTAGCTCCTTACTTTTTTAGTATATCACGAAGAGGAGCAAGAGAGCTATCTTAGAAACATATTTAAAACACATGATGAAAATGAAAGGTTTTTTTTAAAAAAAGAAAAACCTTTAGAATCTGTTTTCTTTGTTCAGGTACCAGAGTTGTTGGCAGTGCTTAAGAGGGTCACAGGGCATTTAAAATCACTGGGCTGTGGGGAATAAAATTCCAGGTCTGTTTCACTGAAAATTACTCAAAACTTGTGTTTACTCAGCAGTAAGTAGTACAAAAACACTTTTTCTATATGAGCCCCTCTTAGATAGTGCCTTGGAAATACATGATCAGTGAAATTGCCACAAAATACATGTATGTCCCAGTGGCTCTTCTCGGCATCACCAAGGTCACGGTCCTATTTCAGGCTCCTTTTCAGTGTGAAAAGCAGGTCACTCACAGATTGGTCTCACTTTTGAGCTGTCCATTTCAGACTACAGTGGACGGAAGTGTGCTGTTGGCTGTGTACTAAAGCAGAACAGGACAGACACCGTACTCAGTATTTCCTTCGTACCCTCCAGGAGTGTAATTTCCAGAAGGGAGCAGGACCTTTTGCTTGCCCTACTCCTCTTTGGGGACTTTCTTTCCTGGGTGACTGAAAGTTTTCACTGACAGGATAATTAGGATTACTAGTTTAAATGGAAAAGTAGGATTTTGGAAGGAAAAAAGATTCTGAAAAGCGAAACAGATTCTGACAAGGGTCCTTCTTTGTTTTCAGCACTAGATTTTAGTTTCTCCTGGTTTTGTGGGTGTAGCACCAGAACAAGTTAGATGGTGATAACTTCTTGGGTTTTACAAATGATTTTTTTGTATTTTGCTATAGTTAGCATTAAGATTTTACTCAGGAGATGTGAATTCTATAATAAAATGTGGTTAGTTTTTTATAGGCTGTATTGCCCATCTTTTTACTGTCTATGACTAGCCCTCCTGTAGGAAAGGAAGCACTTCAAATAATCCAGCTGTCAGGAAAAAAAAAAAAAAAAAAT